CGCTCTCCTTTGTCCCGCCCAGGGGAGACCAAGCGCGCCTGACCCGCGCCACGGCGTCGCCCGTGGCGTCGCCTTCGCCGCGCTCCGCCGTGGCACGGGCCAGGCAACCAAGCGCTACCCAAATTGCCCTCAAAATGTGAAGCGCCTCAAGGAATCATGGGACCACAAATGCCCGTAGCGATTCCTCTTTGTTCCAAAAGGAGGAAGGGACCCCAGGCAGTTGCTGCTGCAGAGCCTGGCCCTGCGCTCCCTGCGGCAGGTCCCTACAGGGGGGAGCGCGAGAACAGCGGCCGGCCCTGGTTGGGTTGGGGATGGTTTCCAGTCCTGAAGGAGGAACCCAAACTTCCTAGCGGTTCGTTCTTCTCTGGGGCGCTCGCGTGGCTCTTCGACATCCATATCTGAAAAGTCACCTTGGGCCCAAAATTCTTCAGGTTGGGCCGATTTGTAAGTGGCAAACCTTTCGGCAGGAGCCGAGTACTTGATGAGCTGACATCACCGGGAGGCTGCGGAAAACCCTCTCCCTGTTTCGTCCGGCCAACTCCAAAGCCTGCTTTGCCGCACCGCCGGGCAGCGGGTGCAGAGACGGGGGCAGCCTCCCCGGCCGGCGAAGCGGAAACTCCTCCGAAACCGGGGGAAAGCAAACGGGGTTTTTCCTAGATACAGAAATAATCAGAGAATTAGAACTACGTCGGGAACTGTTGAAGGGGCGTAAAGATATTTTGTCGGACATTTAAACGGGGTATCCAACGAGCATCCCTGATCCGTTCCTCTTTAGTCTGTATCCCAACAGGAGTTTCAGCTCAGCTCAGCCCAGTGGGTGCCAATACTCCCGGGCTGCATTTCAAGTTGTGGAAAATTTTGAAGCTTCTCCCCCGGGCGGCTGAGGGACTTCATATGGCGTTTTTCTTCCCCGGGTTTTGAAAGTTGTTTTCTTTCTAACCGCCGTCAGCAGGGGCTCCGGTCGAACCCGTCCCCCCAAGGCTTCAAAGCAGGGCAGAGGAGTTCAGCTTCAAAGCAACTGTACGGTATTTAATTTAATTGAACAGTACAGGTGCTGGGGCCGGGCTGCGAGTGCCGGACGGCGGGATGGAGACCGCAGCCCGGTGACTCCTCCAGGGGTGCCTGCATCTGTGTTTTTCGGAATCCAAGCCCACGTAATTACTTAAATCAATATTTAGACAAACACCAAGATTTTGGGACTCGCCCCAAGGTGTGATGAATACACTTGTGGATGGTGAGTAATAACCTTCCCAGCCGGCACAGCAGAGGTTTGGGGTGTGCAGTGGACACGCCTTGCCGCCCTCCTCGCCAACGCGCCTGCGACAGGCACGCGCCGTTACCCTTCGGTTTAAAACACCGCCACGGTTCGGTCACGAGTCAGCTCCTCGCATCTTTTTTTCAGCGTCTGATGAAGACCCGTGGTGATTTGGGGTTTATGCTGGAGGGTTTTTTTTCGGGAAAGTATAAAAGTGGACTCTCGCACCACTTCAGTGCTTTTTTAACTGTAACGTGGCACTCCTAGCTTTCAGAAAGCTTCTGAGTAAAACTGAGCAAAGCACATAAATAACCTAAGAACCTAGCTTTCTTTCAATAAGGCTTCATTTTCTAGGTTGTTTTAAATGAGTTTTGATGTTTCCCACCTCTTTGGAAAATTTTTTAAACGCCTTTTACAATTTACATTTCTAGAAGAGTTTCTTCATTGTATAATGTTCCCTTTTTTCATTTTTCAGAGACTCGTTCATTAGCAGTTACAGGAACGCCAACCAGGCTTGCAAATCTTTCCAACTGGCCCTACTTCTACTTACGTATTTCTGGTTCCCAAGGGCAAGCCCCTTTCTCCAACCCCCATATATGCCTGCCTGTCATTTTCTTCATCCGGAAGAGGAACTCTGTAATACAGGTATGCTATGTTACGGATTTTTATATATATATTTATATATATGGATTTATATATATCATGTTATGGATTTACTTGAAAGAGGTTGCCCTAAAATCTTAACCCTGGGTCCCTTGCCAAAGCATCACGCTCTTGCAACCTCCATGTGTCTTTCCTCCTGCCGTCAGGGTAATTTCCCCTAGTTTGGAGTGGGGTGCCCTCTGGTATTAACACAGGCTGCAGCTCTGAGCTGCTCTCCAGGCGGAGAAACTCGAGCGCATGGGAGGCCAGGCTCACATCAAAGCTTTGCCTTTCCAAAAGATATGGATGCGGCTGGCTCAGACCGCTTGGCTCCGAAAAATCTAACCCAACTTTCCGTCCAGCTTCCGTAAGCAGTTTCGACATCGCTGTTGCCTACCCCTCTTTGCTGAAGAACTTGCCTCATTCGCAGACAGCTCTTTGCGCAACGCCCTCCTCATCCCAGCCCGACACAAAAGATGCGTTCCCCAGTGAAAAGCTCCTTTGAGCTCCAAGTTGAACGTTGCCCCTAAGTCAAGTCTGAGCCATTCACAAACCCCCTTAACTCTATTGGCTGCCCCATCAGATTTATAAGTTAAAACTCAAGTTACACCACTCCTTAGCTGCGCCGGCAGTCAAGTGCTGTTAGTTCTCCAGTGCTTTCCAAAAAATCCCACATGCGCACCCCAAGAAATCTTAGTGGCACACGGAAGTGGCTACAGCAATTATTTTGTGGTCGGGATGCTTTTGAGCAGCTTGAATGTAGATAATTCTGCAGTGAATATGTCTCCTGAAAGAAATGATCCACATCAAAGCCCGTAGTGTCTGCAAAAAAATGCAATAGTAAATAAAAACTTCTGCCAAAACAAGAAACTTGACGTTAATGCTAAGATGGATTGTTTCCATTCTGGATCAGCTGGGGAGCAGGGAGTTGAAACTGGGTTTGTAATGGAAAGCATACTTCAATATTAACATCCATCTGTTATAAAAATAAAGGCGCTGCATTTATAACTGTTAAAGCATTTTAGATGACTTGAGGAACTTAGGTTCTTTCCTTTGTGTATAATTTCACAATTGGATTTGACATAAGTGCCCTTTTAGGTTCATTCCCTGGAAGCGGGTTTTTTTTGCACCGTCTGGTTTTCCTCATCTGTTTTTTTTTTGAGTGACCAGATTGCTTAGGCTTCTCTGAAAGCACCACTATTAATGTTATCTTAATAGTATTTTAATGTTTATCACTTCAAGAGAGATCTCTTTCGCCTTTCAGAAACCAGTCTGACCAGATTTCTC